AGGGTAAAATGGAAATGATTGCGTGGTCCTGTGCAGAAGATGCCTATCCCCGAATGTCTGTCTGCCACCGAGCCCGCCGGACTCCAGGGACCCATGGGTGCCGCGCGGGAGACCACGGAGCGAGAGAGGAGACGCGGTCAGGTCTTGGTTGTTGTTCGAATGTGGCCCTTTTTTTCAGACAGTTTTATATATTAAGTGAATCGTAGATGCACATTTGACTTTTACCAAAATGACAGATGAAAGATTGATAACAAAGGTGTTCGTCTCATGAGGTCTCGATTAAGCGATGCCAAGTCATCCATGTTTTGTATCAACATTTAAACCTGTCGTCATTTTGTGGGGGAAGTATTTTACTTCTTCAAACACCTAAGATCCTTGAAGACTCATCAACCACGTGTTCGATCATTTTGATATACAAAGTAAAGCGGTTTATCTGAGCAGTGTCATGTTGAAGGGGTTGCTCACCAGAACCAGAAGCCGTTCATCCCCCCGTATGTTACACATACGGGGTGATTTGTTCTTGGTGATCGGTGCGATCTAAGAATAAAACAAGAGAAAAATATACAAGAAAAAAAGGGAAACAAGGAACGTAGAAGTCGCTGACAACCAAAAGAGCTTTACCTTTGGATGATGTGTTCATGTAGAATCAGAAGCTGATGAAACCGGTTCACATGGCTTTTAGAAGACATCAACTTGAGAAAACAACAGATACGTGTACACAAAGAATTAAACATGCTAAGGTTGATACATGTCTGCTCCTGTAATATTGATTCGGATTATAAATGTGTGTATTTATAGTATCTAGAGACTAAATACAGAGTATCCGTTCCCATAGAACACCTGCTTTCGTCGAGCCGAGCGCGACTTCAACGGGAGGCGTTGGGATTTGTCATCCCGCAGAGGTTACGCCCCCCCACCTATTAGCGCGGGGTCGGAGTAGCACGCAGATAAAGATTTCCTGTTTGCGCGGTGTCAAAAAATCAATGGCTGTGCCGCGATGTGCTCATTTGATATCAACAATAGTCTTTTTAAAAATCAATTAGGACCGGAGAGAGGAGGACATCAGTGTTGGGTTACACCTTCGTGCCGCACGGATCGCAGTGTTGAGGCTTCTGGTTTCTTTTGGGTGAGCGGGTACAATGAACCGCCTCTGTGACCCCTGGCGCATCAAGCCTGTGGCCGTCGCACATTAAGACGTTTGGTCTCCAAAAATGAAAAATGTCATCATAAGAATCTTCTTGAAAAGGGGTAATGTGGTGGAGCTTAAATGTCCGTCTGTGACATCTTCTAATGATGTCACTTTGACAATAAAACTCTTTTGTTTTGACTTGATCATCGCGTGTCTGTGTTTAATATACAACACAGGTCAAAGTTTATCCATTCCCATGCGTACAGTAGGTATTATTAGTGTTGTTATTAGTAGGACAGTGTGCCTGAGCTACTCCAGTGTGCCTTTTCTTTTCAAAAAGGGTAATACCTAGCAAAATTAAAAAAGGATTTCAAGGATCAGTGTTAACAAACGCTTCCAAACAGAGGAAGAACAAAGGAAGAGAGGGAGTCAATGAACCGGAAATGCTGAAAAAAAGAATGCAGCTTGTGTTCGTTTTCCTCCCGAGAGATGCCTCGACGCAAAAGGGGATTCCGCGTGATTAAGGAAAGAACAACGCTTTTGTTTTCATTTCCAGAAGAGCATGAAGACGCCTTCAATTTTTTTCGTTGGTGACAATAAATCCGTGGCAGAAGTGGCCGTTCCCACTTCTTTTTTAATCCTTAACGTTCCTTCCTTTTCGTGGGCATCGCCCGCATTAACGGTAAATTAACCCTTCAAATACGGATTCACACGGCTTAATGCACGTGATGTGTCAGAACAAACCACTCGCAGTACGGTACCCAGCCAAAACATGCTGGCAGCATATCACCAGTCTGCCACCCTCCAGCTCAGTACCCCCCTCTGTAACACACACACACACACACACTCATCAGTTAATTGCGTTAGTCATTCCATTAATGGCGGACTGATTGTTTTATTGTGTTGGCTCGTCAAAGAGGCCTGGACGCCCCAGTGGCTGCCGAAGCGTCTGTATCGATAAGCTTTTGTGTGTGTGTGTGTGTGTAGCTAGTGACGAGGGGTGTATAGCGGTGTGATACCATGTGCACGGATGGTATACAGTGTGTATTTTGTACCTTGTGGATCTGTGTGTGTGTGTGTGTGTTGTGTTGTGAGCATAAATCTTTTTACGCATGTTGTGGGGACTAGCCTTCCTCTTGGCAGCAAACCCTTCTAACATAAATAATCCCATTCTATGTTCGGCCAGCTGCACAGGAAATGGATGTAAATCAACTTTTTACAATGTAGTGTAAAACCGGATTGTGTGTGTGTGTGTGTGTGTGTTTGTTTGCTGCTGTGTGAGTCAGCCGTTTGTGGAAATCGCCGAGCAGCAGTGAGACGGGTGCGCGCGCAGCACAGAAGCGTATCAATAAAGAGCGCCGGGTTATTACGCGGGTCTGTGGTGGTCGGCAGGTAATTAACAGGGATTAGGATTGTTGGAGGCCTCATGTGACCTCAGTGAACGTTGCAGACCTGCAGGGATTAGCGAGCGGTGTTCATTAGCAGAGGTGCGAGGAGAGCATTTATGAGCGTTTTTTTATCAAACAGACACTCAGACCAACTTAATCTACGGCCTTTTGACGATGCCTATAATTAACTATATTATAATCTAGTAAAATGCCATCATGCCTTTGCACAAAATGTACAGTTGATTTCAAGCACATTTTTTACAAAATCTCAAATGGTTTTGTTACATGTTCAACATTGCTCAACAACCCCCCCCCCCCCCCTCCCTTGGCATAAGCAAACAGCTGTATCAGCTTGCAATAGATTACAGGGAAAGCAACAGGACGGAGCGGAGACTCAGACACATTTCATTCCAACGGCATTGAGGAAATGCACCGCAAATTGTGAAATAGAAGTGTTTGTCCAAGAGGTCAGCTTTTCCCAGTTACGCCAGTGCTTGTAGATGTAGTGAAGACTCCGTGACACATTTGCGCATGGACCTGTATGAAATGCAGACGGGAAAGGAACACGATAGCACGGGTTCGGCCTTAATATCTAACAAACTAATGCTCACGTTGGGCTTGTTTATAAGGTCACACATGCGCTGGCTCAATCCTTGGCTCCGTTTCACAATGAGGGTCAGTTGAGCTGGTCAGCCTGATAAGAGCACCACGTGACGAAGACGGGCCAATGGCGCACAGGCAGGCCGGACATTGATGGAGTGCCGAGATAAGGAGGGTCAGAGGCCCAGTGGGACGGGCGTTAGCACACTGCACTGGGACAGATGCTGGACTTTGGACTTCGTAGCATGCAGGTTAGATTCTTCTGAGGTGACGCTTGACCCAGGACACTGACTCCACTTAAACCCGGAACATTCGTGTCCAAAGCCCCAGAATTTGTGAGGGGGGGGGGGGGGGGGGCTGCACCTCAAAATACCCAGAAATGTTGGGCTGGATTTTCACTCGAGCACTGCAGGTCAAGTCCGGTTGCATCTGTGTTACGCTCTCATGTGCAACTGAGAGGTTGAAAATGCAGGGCTGATTTACAATGGGACACACGCGCCAAGACTGGTGAACAAAGTGTGGAGCCGGCTGTTTTAAAATGGGCCACTGGGAGCCCCTGATTGTGATTGTTCTGGGTTGGATCAGCGCGACTCTCATGAAACGCGCACTATCAGGTCAACTAGTTCCGTAAAAACGGGAGCCGTGTACCGTTCGTTGAACTGCCATTGCAACGTTGAGCTGTTTATGGGAACACAACACCAGTGCGACTCTACAACAACACAGGGAACAATGTTTAAAAGCGCTATTTGGTGTGAAAGGTCTGCGTCTTTGAATGATTGTATCCCCCTCGCTGTCTCTCCTGCTTTCTCCCCTCAAGCCACACTCCATCCTGCTCCCTCTCCCTTCCATAGCTCCCCCAAACCACCACCACCACCACCTCCTCCTCCTTCTCCTCCGCCCCTTCCCCGGCTGTGGGAAAGCCATTTTATCAGCGTCGGCCCGTTGTTCTCTGGTGGGGATAGATACAGAGAAGATAGATGAGTGTTTTGACATGGAGAGTGTTAGACAAACACTCTTATCAGGTCCGCCACTTTAGACCGACCCCTAAAAACAGTTGCCTGAACCATGGGCGAGATGAGACAGGGAGGGGAGGGGGGGGTGTATGTGAGGAGGCAAGGCCTCCTTTTTGAATGCGCGTCGATCAGAGGAAGAGCGGCTGGCAGCCATAATGGAGAAAGTTACTTGCACTTCCGTCCGCCAGCTGTCTTAAGTTTCTAAAACGGATGCATGGGCCTCCGGGCCTTCCAGCAAACCGACTCTATCTGGGCTACGGCAGGCTCAGACCACAGGCGGCACTGCCACCCCTCGTGCAGCTATCAGTTGGAGGAAGCAAACGAGAAGTTTCCCCTGTTTGAACCGTGCCAGAAACAGAAAAGCCCCCCCACCACCGCCCCCCTGCTGTCGAGCCGTTGACAGTTTCTGCTGTGAGGGTTCAGGTCAAGTTCAAGCCACATGCTGCTTCTTCTCCGGTTCTTCTCTCTTCTTCTTCTTCTTCTTCTTGAGGCCGTCACGTGGTTTCTGCTAAATGTCCCGTCTCAACCGGCAGCGGTTTTGAAGGCTAAGAGCAATATTTTGATCAGTTATTTCTGCCCATAAGTACTATCTTATAATTTTATAATTGGTTTGTTGCCACATCGAAGCCCTAAGCAGTCCTGAAGTGGAAGAATGCCAAAAGTCTTAAAAGTCTTAAAGCTTTAGCGTCGACTTTTATTGATGAAATCGAAATATAAATAAAAGATTACGTGAAAGTGGGTTAATATAAAGGTTATATTTGGGCAGTAATGACACCATTAGCTTAAGGATAAATTAAATATTGCTTTCCACATGAACATTTGTGTATATTTGGCTCATTTCGGCGCCGCTCTCTCCTCCCCTTCCTCTAGATGCCCTGGAGTTCAGCGGAGCGAGTGGGGGCAACAGGGTGGTAGCTGCCAGGGACCTCCGTCCAGACACAACGTGGGGCCCCTACCCAGGAGTCCTCCAGTCAGAGGGCGGGACGGACGATCAGGAGACAACGGTAAGAGCTTCGACACCGTCCGGTAATAAGTGGCAATGAGAATGTATATGCATTATTATATTATTACACATACTTTCATCGACACACTTTCACAAAAGATTATGATCTTAAATATTTAGTCATTTTTAATGTTTTTCCAATCATAAGAACTAAATAAATGTTGGGTTGAATTTCTAAATGTGAGATTTTTTGCAGATTTTGATCCTTTTGAGCCTTTTGTCGTTGACAAAAGTATTACATGTAAACCTCCTAGATGATCACAAAAAGAAAGTGCAGTAAATAATATTTGCAACTTCAAAAACCAGTGAATTCCGTATAAGATCAGTAGGCCTTCTAAACTAGTAGAATTGCGGAAAATGTATCAATTTATGGAGTTAAAAACTGCTGAAGTCGGAGGAAATTCTTCTTTTAACTGACCAATTATTACCTACAGACTTAAAATAAGACACCAATAAATGCAACTTGAGTGAACCTTTGAATGATGTATAACATTGATGCAAATCTGCCATGAATTGCAAACCACCGCTCAAGACGTTAAGCTAGCTGAAGCCTTCTGGACATGTCAAAGGTCACGGGTCAGATTATAAGGGAATAAACACCTTATCACACATCTGTGTGACACAGCTCACTGTGTGCGTGTGCGTGTGCGAGTGTGTGTTTGTTGGACGCAGTGTGGGACCGGATGAACCCCTATCAGAGGCTGGGTTTGTGCATCATGTGCGAGTCCATCTAATCATATGATACTGATGCTGGGAGAGGCTTCCTGGCATGGAGAACAGATTCCAACAAACACACATGCAGGACAATCATTATTCCCACGTATTTTTTTTTTGTATTGATCTACGTTGAGCATAACTTGCTGTTACATCTCCAGTTGTTTGTCTCCAAACGTCCGGTTTAGGGTTTAGAACCAGATTGACAAGAAGCTCCACCAAGTAAAAATAAACCGCCTACCCCGACAATCCTCCCTCCTCTTGCTTACCTCTCCACGCCACCCTCTTCCTCTCCTCCCTTCTTTTCTCTCCTGCCGTGCCTCCTCTTCCCTGCTATCCTCTCCCCCCTCTCCTCCCCCTCCCTCCCCGTCCTCTCCTCCCAGCTCCCCCCAGACGTCCGCCTGTCTTTTATCTCCACATGGCGCCATCCTCCTGGACAACAAACCCCAGTGATTGATTCCTGCTTGATAGGCTCATTTCTAAGATTTCATTTATTATCAGTGGGGTTCTGAGTGTACAGCTGTGTGTGTCTGTGTGTGTGTGTGTGTGTGTGTGTGTGTGTGTGTGCATAACTTTTTGCTCTTCCCCTCCCATCCGCTACACACGTCTTATTCTCCGTCTGAACTGTAAAGCGAGTTTCTATTCTTTTGAGGGCTTTGCATTCACGTGGAACGCGTCTCTTTCCGGACTCTCAGCGCCCATTTTCTCTCTCCGTCCTCATTTTCCCGCCCCTCCTATCTGTGGACTGGAGAAGTGAGGAGACGGACTTTCGGTATCTGCTGGAGATAGTGGCCTTAATCTCACATTCCTCCTGTGTTTCTCCCCCCCCCCTGTCACTCTGCATCCTCCCCCTCCCTCCATCTATCGCCCCAGCCCTCCCTCGTGGGTCAGCGGGGGTCAAGGCTCTCGTTCTCAGCGCGTTAGAGAGAGAGAGAGAGAAATTGCTCATCTCTTGCGGCGCCGCTGAAGCCCGAGGCGTCGCGCTGCAGTTCCTTGATTTGGCTATTTCAGAAACAGAGAGGGGGGGGGGGGATGAAGTAACTTTTTTAAATAACTATTTCTATGTCAAAAGGTAATGTTTCCATCTGGTACGATACGAAGATGCATCCACTACTGCAGTACTTTAGCAAAAGGAACATTTAGTTGCCCAGCGTTGCTCCGATGCATTTCAAGCACAGTCTGATCTCCGGTCAGCGGAGCAACGTTTGCCCCCCCCCCCCCCCCCCCCCCTCTCGATGAATGTCCTGGGTTTGACCGACCCGTCCGCCTCCATCTCCGCCAGGCCTGTGTGCGATCTCACATTTAACTCCACTTCAGTTAATCTGAGCGTGCAAAAAGGATGTGAGCGTGTTTTAATTGGATTTAGGTGAGGTAGTGTTATGGAATGGGTGTAATTATGGTTAATGAAAAAGATAATGTCAATTGCTGTTGTGAGATGGGACAGTCTCAAAGGTCCATTTGAAAAATGAGCATAATAATATATTGCACAGTGCCTTACACGGGCGTTCACCCCCCATTGGACTGTACTACATTTTGTCACACGATGTCATGAATTTTATGGAACGGACCAACACAAAATAGTCGTTCATCTGGAAGTTGGGGGAAAGTTTACGTGGATTTCAAAATGATTTAATGGTAAAAGACCTGGTGATACCAATTTCCGTATATAGGGGTAAAGTGACATTTGTGATGAGCTCAGAAGTCTCAAGTCCCGTATCGTCCAGCTCTGGACATCAGACCCACATGCTGAAAATAAGTTAGACTGGATCAGAATAGAATGGAGAATAGCTCTTATGAAACGTGAACTTGCTCAACACTCATTCATAGATACGTAAAGTAAGTTAGTGTCTTATGTGAGTGGAAAGATCTTTTGGCTGGACGCTCTTATCGTTCATCTCCCTGCTTTGGACATGTTATCACCATCTGCTCACCGCTCTATTTATATTTCAGCTCTCCGTCAGGTCTCGACCAGTTCTCTGTCCGTCCCCACTTCTATCTGACTTTTACCACCTGTCTTGCTCAGTCTTCGTCCTCGCCGGGTCTCTGGGGTGAGATTGGCGTGGCCCCCTCTGTGTCCTCCCAGTAACACATGAAGAAACATGATGTGCAATAACTTTATTTCCTTTATTTGAGGCGGTGGTCATTTAAATCTACCGACAAAACATACCGACAAATCAAGGTAGAGCAGAAAGAGCAAGAAGGAGACAACGCGAGAAGCAAATAAGGCCCATGACAGATCTCCTTCATTAGATTGGTGCCGTGTCAACTTGCCCGTGTCATATGGAAATCCTGCCATTTGCGTCTCTTGAGAAAAAGGCATGAAACCGTTTATCTATTTAAATATATTCCGGCTGATACGGCTGTTGGACTTTAGAACATGGTATAATAATGTTTACTGATCGGCCGATCCGCGGCGTCTCTGATCGTCACCGGTTCACGGTCGAGTGAGCAAACGGGTCCTCGTCGGCGAGCCTCCCCTGGCAACCCGCGGAGAGCGAGCGCGCCACTTCTGCTACTCCCCCGATTTGGATCGCGCATGACAAATCTGATATTATATCTACTCTACTTCTGATTGGACCCCGCTTTAATTAACTGATAGTGGGAGTGCGTGGGATTGGAGCAAAGTTTGCGGGATTGTTGTGAAATCTTCAGCTGCGATGGAGCGAGAGGGGGGGGGGGGGGGGGGGGGGGGAAAGAGGGGTGCGTTTAAGCGTACGCAGCGCTGGAGGTGGTTGCATCTGTTGCGTCCTCCCAACGGACAGGTGGCCAACGTGAGGTACGCGTCCCTACCGTCCTCCCTCCTTCGCCAGCACCCAGCAGCTCGACCCCCCCCCCCCCCACCCCAATCCAGTCTTTCCTTTCGAAAGGCCGCCTGAAGGCAGGATCCTGGAAGGAGCAGAGTGGCGGAGTTCAAAGCGTTATCGCGCGCCGAACGTCTTTTTCATCGTGTTTTAGAAACAAGCGTTCGCGCTAATCCCCCAATAATCTCTGCAGGAGAACTGGGGCGATAAGGCGCGCCACCCACGGCTTTTCAAACACTTTTTGGGTAGTCTCTTCTCACTCTCTATCTCCCCTCCCCTCTACCTCCTCGACTCCCCACTCCTCCACCTCCTCCTCCTCCTCCTCTCGCTCCCCTGGAAGGACGCGTGAAGGTGATCGCCATCTCCTCCTCATCGCCTCTCCAGCTGTTTGCTTCTTCCTTTTTTTGCGTCGACTGCCAGCCGGTTTGTTTACATCCAGATTTTGATCTTTTTTTTATTTTTTATCTGGACTCATCAACAGTGTTTCTCTGCCTGTGTTTCTCTCTCTCTTCTCCTCCGCCCCATCAAATTAGAATGTTAATTAAAATGGTGCTCCTTCAGAAGATGACAAATCAATGATTACAGCGAGTGTTGAGATACCTTCTGCGTTATGCTACCAGAGAGCAGGGAAAGCGTTTCTCGCTCTAAAGGCCCAATAAAATAAAGAAGACATCCAAAAATTGTCCCTGTGTTACTGGATATTATATATTTATATATTATAAATTAAATATTAAAGCCCCTCTGAAGTCAACACAACCTTATTGAGTCATGGTTTTATTTGCAATGTGTTCCAGGTGTTGGTTCACTGCTTAAATTTAATTTCTGCACATTTTTTAAGAGTTCAGGGGAGGGATACGCGCCCCCGACGCCACGATGGCGGAGCCAAGCAGCAGGTGGCCATGGCGGTGCCACGCACAGCACTGCCTTTGACGTGTTGGGACTCTCTCTCGCTCTCTATTAAGGACAGATATTTCGAAAACGTTTGAGTTGGATTCAGAGATTTGTAACCGCGTAGCTGTATCTAAGACTCTTGTTTTGGTTCTCTGACACGTATTATTTCATCTTTACAATCAGGAAACATTTATTGCCAAAATATGTCAAACATACTGGGAATTTGACTTTGGCGGTTGGTGCGCGACATGCAGTACAGTGCGACAAGACAAAATAAAGAAAATGCTAATGCTATGAGTTAGTATAAAATAAGAGAATACGGTTAAAGTTAAAAATGAAAAATATTTAAAAAGTAAAAAAATATGAAAAAATAAAGTGCACTAGCGAACAAGTGACAAAGTGACGAATGAAAAAAGAAAGTGACGTGTGCAGAACGAACACTCGAACCGCTCAATCGCTGTTTGACGCGATCCCTTCTAAAACAGAATGTGCCATTTTAAGACCTCGCATTACAGAAGCTACGGATCCTATGACCTCCGTCGCACCACTGCAGCATTTTTGGAAGAAAACCCGCACCCTGGTGATTGACGCGTCG